GTTGTTGTTATTGTTATTGTTATTGTATTATTGTTATTTATAATTTGTACAATTAACCTCCCTGTGGTTCGACCCCAGTCTTGCTGGGTTATTTATTACTTCGACACTCCTGCACTTTGGAGAAGACATTAATCTTTTAGTCGTGTCACACCCCTAGCTGGTTCAGTCTAAACTGGAATACTGTTCAGTCATTAGATCATATATCTAGAGCTATAGAACTTGAATTTGAGTATGCTCTATATGGATGGAAAGCCAAGACATAGGCCTAAAAATTTCATGTGGAATCCAAATTTAAAAAGGACGTTTTCAAGTTCAAATTGTAGCAATAATAGAGAAGTCGAAATCTATCTTGTAGTCTAGACACTGTTCAGTGTTTAGACTATATCTCGAGTTCTAGAAGTCCAAATGACCTTGTTTTTTGTTGTTGGAAAGCTGAGATAATTTTCTAGAACTTTCATAAAGTAGTTTGTTTAAATTTTGATATTATTAATGATATTTTGTTCAGACAAGAAAATAATGATCGTCACCAAGTCAAGATGTGGTCACCTACTCAACAATTAGTTAATAAATCAATAGTTTCAAATTTTGACTTATAAAAGGAGGCATTTGCCATGCATTTAGGCGTTTTGGTTTTCAGATTAAGATCATGTTCTTGTTTTCTTTTTTTATATTTTTGTAGTGCTTAAGTTTTGCTTTCATTAATCTTTTGTTTATGCCTTTTGTTTACTTTATTAATTTATATCTTATTTATGCTCTTATCTTGTTTATTTATGTTTCTCTTTTTCATTATGTTTAGTTAAATTTTGTATTTTTTATCTTGTTTACTTTTAATACTTTGCTTATTAAATGGTTAATCTAAATTTCTGTTCTATAATCCCTGGTACAACAAATACTTGACACTTTTATAGCTCAACCATATGGTATAACCTATACTTGTGTTGTGAAAGGAACTTAATTTATTGTTAATATAAGTTATAATCATGAATACTTGACAACATTTACAAGTATTAACATTATTCAAATAAGATAACTAATGTAATCATGTTAACAATTTAT